TGTCTGTCTGTCTGTCTGTCTGTCTGTCTGTCTGTCTGTCTGTCTGTCTGTCTGTCTGTCTGTGTCTGTGTCTGTGTCTGTGTCTTTGTTTCTGTGTTTCTGTGTCTCTGTGTCTCTGTGTCTCTGTGTCTCTGTGTCTCTGTCTCTGTCTCTGTGTGTGTGCCTGTGTGTCTGTGTGTCTGTGTGTCTGTGTATCTGTTTGGGGCACCACCCGCAGCGGGCGGAAGGCCGGAATGACTGGCCACTGCATGCTAGATTCAGAGGGGCTCGATCAAGAGCCCGCCGAAGACCACCACCGTGAGCGGGGCCGCCCACGCCTGCCTCTCGCCGACTCGCCCCATTGAACTCGCGCCGTCTCGGCAGGTGGCTCGTGTTGCCACCTGCCGACTCGCCCCATTGAACTTACGCCGTTGCGGCCTTCAGGCGTCGCGCCGACTCGGCAGGTTTTGGCCGCGCAGCAGCAGGAGCAGACGGCGCAGGAACACGTCGTCGACGACGGCCCAGACTGGCCATGTTCGACAAGTCTTCCCTCCCCCATGGCCACTCCGTCTGCCTGGCCTACTGTCGTCCAAGCTCGCCTTTGGCGGCGGCCCAGCGAGCGCGCCGACGCGAGTCCCAGCGCCGCCTCCAGCAACACCCGCCAGCGGAAGTGCAGCAGGAATCGCATCAGCCCGACCAGCATCCGCAGCCGCAGCCGCACCAGCGTCGTCGGCGCCGCTCATGATCTGCCGCCGAAGCGGCGGCCACGCGCGGCGCGAAAAGCGCGGTGCTGACGGTCGAGCGCGTCACGGCAGCCAAATTTTGGCGTTCACAACGCTTGGCACCGCCGCTTCGACGGCAACAACCGCGTCCGCCATGAGAGCCCCTCTAAACTCGTGCCCGCCGCGGAAGGGCGCGCCGAGCCGCGCGGTCGCTAGAGCCAAGATGACTTGAGCCAAAATTGCCACGGATGTGTGTGCGTCTGTGTGGGAGAGAGAGAGAGAGAGAGAACAAAAAGAGAGAGAGAGAGAGAGAGAACAACAAGAAAGGGAAAGAGAGTGGGCCGCCGCGCGCGCCCCCGCCCGTTCGGTGATTTGCTCCGCCCCGTCCAGGCCGCCACCGCCAAAAAGTGTGTGTGTGTGTGTGTGTTTGTGTATGTGTTTGTTTGTTTGTGTATGTGTGTGTGTGTGTGTGTGTGTGTCTGTGTGTGTGTGTGTCTGTGTGTGAGCGTGTGTGTGTGTGTGTGTGTGTGTGTGTGTGTGTTTGTGTGTATATGTGTTTGCGTGTGTGTGTGTGGGTGTGCGTGTCCCACCTGCTGACGCGCAACGGTCCGTAGCTGGCACGCTGGCTACGAATCGTAGGCCGACGACATGTGCACCAAGACCACTACATGGTGCACCACGACGCAACAGGGAAGCCCCGCCAGGAGCGACCTCGGGCGCGGCCCAGGGGCCGAAATAAAGACGGGGGCACAAAGCCCCACTGGGCGAAGCCACGTCGGGCTCGACGTCGGGCTCGCCTAGACCCTAGGCGCGAGCCCAGGCCCCGGCCCCGAGACACCCGCAGCCAGCGAGGCCAGGCGGACCCTGGGCCAGAGAAGCCAAGGCAACCGAGAGCCCACCCAGATCAATCCTCCTTTGTGTTTGTGTTTGTGTGCCTGTGCGTGTGCGTGTGCGTGCGTGTTTGTGTGTGTACGTGTGCGGGTGTATGTGTGCGTGCGTGTGCGCGTGTGCGAGTGCGCGCGTGTGCGAGTGTGCGAGTGTGCTTATGTTTTGTTGTGTGTGTGTGTGTGTGTGCGTGTGAGCGTGTGTGAGCGCGTGCGTATCCACGGCTAACAGCGATCGGTTGCAGTGCAAGTCGCGCCCTCGGCCGCCGAAACTTTACGCAGCCTGCTGCCAGTTGCGCCATGGGCTGCGTCCTCGGCCGCCAAAGCGAAACGCCGAAGCCCAAAGCCACTCCCATTGATTGCCCAGAGGAAAACAGTGCTCCCGGGACGGGTCGGGAGCTCGGGGGATCCGAGCCCGTAGGTTTCAAAAGTTCGGTGTCGTAGGTTTGAGCCTTTGCTTGGCCCATCGCGCGAAATACGGTGGCGCGAAAATTTCCGACCTCTGCCTTTAGTTGTCTGATGGGTGCCCCCATTGTCGCCCATGTTGTTGATACATGCATGTCGGGGGGAGGACGAGGGTGAGGATAAGCGGCCCTGGGATCCCCAAACTCATCGGTCCGGGCACGGTGTATTCAAGCCGCGTTGTCGCGGCTGCGACGCCCGCGCGGCCTTTTAAGGTTGAACTCCACTGGATGCCTGAACTCGGCCAGTATTGAACGATAGTGACGAGATGTTGAGAATCAGCGATCTTGCAATATTGAGCATTCCACGTGGTGAGAGCGGTGTCAGAGACCAGCGCCCACGTCATCGCGACGTGAACTTGCCGCATGTGTCTGCCTATTGTTCTCGCCCAGTGTTTATCCTTCTCAAGTCGGGAGGTTCGTAACAGACATGGCCGCGATCCGGGCTGAGCAG